GGAACCAACGAGTCGTCAGGCACTTAACAAGAGCGAGCAGGCGTGGAGAAGCAGGCGTGCAGGACGGACATGGGAGGACAAGCAGATATGAAGCAACTTGGACAAGCGAGCCAGGTACAGAAAGCGCGGGACCGACTAGTCGTCAGGTACGTGACAAGAGCGAGCAGGCGTTGACAGGCAGGCAGGCATGCAGGATGGACAAGCGAGCCAGCGAAAAGCAACAACCGTAGAGTCGAAGGCTCTGACATTGTCAGAATGCACTCTTCAGAGCGCGGGGCCACCAAGGCGTCAGGTACATCACAAGAAGCCAGGACAAGCGAATGTGAAAGTCGAAGGAGAAGCGAGCCAGCGATAAGCAACAAGTGTAGACTGGAAGGCACTAGCATCGCCAGAATGCACTCAACACAGTGCGGGACCAACAAGTCGTTAGGTACGTCACAAGAAGCGAGCGAGGACAAGCAAATGTGAAAGAGGAAGAGGAAGGAACAGGTAGCCAGCGACAAGTAACAACCGTGAACTCGAAGGCACTGGCATCGCCAGAATGCACTCAACAAAGTGCGGGACCAACAAGTCTTAAGGTACGTCACAAGAAGCGTGGACAGGCGAATGCGAAAGAGGAAGGAGCAGGAAAAGGTAGCCAGCGACAAGTAACAACCGTGAACTCGACGGCACTGGCATCGCCAGAATGCACTCAACAAAGTGCGGGACCAACAAGTCTTAAGGTACGTCACAAGAAGCGAGCGAGCACAAGCAAATGTGAAAGAGGAGGAGGAAGGAGAAGCGAGCCAGCGACAAGTAACAACCGTGAACTCGAAGGCACTGGCATCGCCAGAATGCACTCAACAAAGTGCGGGACCAACAAGTCTTAAGGTACGTCACAAGAAGCGAGCGAGCACAAGCAAATGTGAAAGAGGAAGAGGAAGGAGAAGCGAGCCAGCGACAAGTAACAACCGTGAACTCGAAGGCACTGGCATCGCCAGAATGCACTCAACAAAGTGCGGGACCAACAAGTCTTAAGGTACGTCACAAGAAGCGTGGACAGGCGAATGCGAAAGAGGAAGGAGCAGGAAAAGGTAGCCAGCGACAAGTAACAGCCGTGAACTTGAAGGCACTGGCATCGCCAGAATGCACTCAACAAAGTGCGGGACCAACAAGTCTTCAGGTACGTTACAAGTGGTGAAGGGAAAGAACAAAGGTAATTGAAACTCAGACAACGACTTGAACCATGAATCACGTGATGGTCTCACGCCACGTCACCATTCCATGATATTCAACTCAGACTCCCACATATCGAACTCCGACTGCTGATGTAATCATGTCACGAATATCCTTACCAGACAATTAGCACCGTCAATCTTCCGTTTGCACCCACCTTCGGTCTGGGTGGTAACCCGACCTCTCCTCCAGCCAAAAGACCGCGATGCATGCTGCTTTAGTGCAGATTGACGGTCCTCGGATTTACAGTCCAGGACCTTGGCTGGTACTGCCACCGGCGCTTATGTACACAATTCCCTATAGGTAAGTAAGTACCTCCTGTTCTGATTCAGCTCCCCATCTCCTCCACGTCTATAGCGGCTGTGCTCGTCAGCCCTTACGGATCTTATGAATACATTTGTAGCGTGCTCCTGGTGATGGGCATCAACGACTTGTGGGAGGCACGTTCCCGTTCTTCACTCGCCGGGTGCTGACACTCACCCCGTGTTTCAGGTGCTCAAACCTGCTGCAGCAACAGTGCCTATCGTGTCTCTCGCCATCCAGGGACGCTACGAGGGACCCACACCACATGTGCCCAATATTGTGGGCGTGGACGCAAGGTTCGTGTTCGCTCGCTCGCTGTCTGTGGTCGAATACTCACGTTCTAATCTAGCGCGTGGTTCGAAAAATGCCAGCAGGGCAGGTGGCATCGTGGTCTGATGCTGCATTGTTCCAATCGCCATTGATACACTCATTACCGTTCCCCTCGATGACGCCGCTAACATATTTACTTTCATCCATCAAGGGATCCTATGCCGTCCATGAAGGCAGCTCATTGGTGGCATCGTGATCATTGTTGCTTTTTCTAGCGCCACTTATAAACTCTATTTCGCTCGTCTCGATGACGTCGCTAACATATCCACTTTCATCGCAGGAATCCTACACCACACGACATCCCCTCCGCCTTCCCCGCAGAATGATGTCCTCATCCACGCTGCACTGTCACCCTAACCCCAGCCACAACCGCAATCACAACCTCAACCACAGTTGCCGCAGCGCACAAGCATCAACCCAGCGCATTGTACTCTCCCAATGGCATATCCGTTCGCACCTCCAGTTCGTCTTCTCCTTCCTCGCCATCGTCGCTCTAGGCATGCTGTACGAGTACCTCCGCGTGTACTCGAGGGACTTTGATACCTGCATCGCGGAGAAATTGAGGGGCGGGCGTAGGATGCCACTTACTGCGAGTTGGCGCAGCTTGCCTGAACGTACATGCTTGACTCAGACATAGAGTAATCCATCTCGTAGCTGGACTCCAATTTTCGGGGTTGGAGAGTGTCGCTGGCATGCTGTGGGAGGTTGACGACGGGACATTTGTTTTAGGGTATTTTACCGGTTGAATCTGAAAATAAGTTGCGCCCTGGTCTCGAGTTCATGCATCAAATATTGCGTGGACATGTATACTACTCCCTGCGCGTATTGTATGCCTATTATGAGGCCGGCGCATAGAGTCAAGTGGATACATGCAGGTGATGTACAGATATCTGGCTTGCTGGATGATATATTGCAAGAAGTACGACTTTGCCGAAACATGAGATACTATGAGGGCTACAGTAGTTTGTCTTATAATGTGCCACGCAAAGTCGATAAAATGGAAGCAGTTGCTCATAAGTCCACAATTCACAAAGACGACGTAGCGTCTGATATAGGCATGATGTTGTGATGGTGCCGAGACACATGTGCACAATAGATTCCCAAACCTATTATTTCGTTAGGTGTTACAAAGAAGCAAGCACGCGCCAGGTGTAGGACTCGATTGCGCAATGGCTGTAGTTCACTCAGTTACGTGGTAGAATTCTGAGCAAGTGTGACGGGATATAACATCGATATATGAAAGCAACGACGACATTGTATCTACATTACAAAGAGCGACGTAGTCCAGGATCATCGCGTGACACCAATGTCGCGTAATTGTGCTGCAGTCAGTGGCCACTGATACCAGACTCGCCCATAATTCTGAGAGAAAGCTGCGTGGATCCATTTTGGACATGGGATCTTGTTTACGGTCATGCGGCACTGGAGGCAGGTATACCTGATGTTCGTGTTCAACCAGTACCTCCCATAGTACTTTTTGCCGTAAGGGTGAAAGATGATGTTGTAGGATGGGGCACCACATTTTGCGTTCAAGCAACGGAATATATCCAGGCCCCAAGGCCTGCCATCCAAGAGGTTCGAGTACGCGAGCACCCGTGAATCGACCACACGTTCGCGAGTATTGTTCGGGCCAATACGTATGTCGGCGAACGCCAACATCACTGGCGCCTGCTTGAGTGCGTGAAGATCCTCGCCGAACGACTTTTCAAGTGCGTCCCAGATCTTCATGTCGTAGATGTACACATTTTCGACGAACCGGGTCAAGGCGGGCGCAACGATTGTGTCCATGGTATAGACGCCTGCAAAAGTGAGAACAAAATCAAAAATGTCACTGATAATAAAAGATGTCAATTTCGATTATAATGCTGGAATATATACACGTACTTCTCGACGAAACTCTTCAACAGCTCGGCACTTTTGGGCACTCTCCCAGTCGCTCCACACGTGCAGATGACAAGGCCACGAGTGCATGGGCCAACCCCAGGCTTCGAGTTGATTGATGCGATCGCCTGTGCGGCAGCTGCCAGATGATGGTCTCCGATGTAGTTTTCTATCAGCTGAAGCGAATTCGATTAGTTGCTGATGACGTGCGGTGAACGAAAAAGTACAAGATACGCACCTCATGAATCGGTACAGACCCAGCGTGCTTCGGGTTACCGGAAACGACAAGGTCACCAGTCTCGGTATCCGAATGGGTATTGATGAAGAGTAAGAGATTTCCTTCGTACTTCACGCTCTCCAGCCACTGAAAGTGGGGATCCATGGCGCGTGGATTGTTGTTCCCAGATTTGAGAGCTCTTGTAGCTATGCGTAGCTGCTTTCACTAAGCTGGCTGCTCGCTATGATAGCAGTTGAAGCCACGACGTACCCTAGATGGATCGACGGTGAACTGCGCCTTGAGCATGGCCTGGACGTTGTTGGACGCATAAGGACTGCCAAATCCGCTCCAAGTCAAGAAGATGGCGAGAAGGGGGAAGTAGTTCCGGTGGAGATAATCTTGCCTTACTGAGTATCCATATATGATGTACTAGTCAGTAGAAAGATGTCATCCGCTTTGCGATAGGTATCATAGCGTGAGCGTACTCACCGGAATGGGTTGAGATTCATTGCGATAACACTGAGGGCACTTGAATGTCTCTTCTGTAACCAATCGCCTGCCAGTACGTGGATTTGGCGTAGCGTCCACGCATCCATGATCTCCATGCTCCTTCCTGACGCAAACGTTGATTCCCACAGGTTGGCACAATGCACGTCCAAATGAATGATCCGATATCGTGGCAGTATATACAAAACTGAGCACCATGTGAGCCTCGTATGATTGATGCACAGGGAGCGTTGAGACTTACCACGTTGCTTCCTCCGATATCTCTGAAACCTCCTTTTGCTGCTCCACGACCATCTCCTCACCTTCATCGACCTCCATGTGTCTTCGTGCTTGATCGGGGTCAATCGGGCGTAAGGCGCGTGCATGGAAGGTGTCATTGTGTTGCTTGGGGGCACGTCGAACTCGGGTGCTTTTTCTATTCCCCACCGCGGCCGGTTGCTGATGAGTCCTTCGCACATTCGCAGATCCTGCTGGCGCACGGTCCATCCCCACATCTTCCTGCGACTGTGAAGCAGCTGGCGCACGGTCCATGCTTACATCTGCCTGCGACTGTGAAGCAGCTGGCGGTGGTACCTGCGATGGCAATGCAGGTTGAGTCGCAGCTGCAGGCTGCGTTGCTGCGGGAACCATTCGATAGTGGTTTGGCTTTATAACAACCATGGTGAAAGCAGGAAGGCAGTTGGTAGTGGGAGAAAAGGCAGGAAGGCAGTTGATCGCAGGTGCAAGGGTCGGTCATTGGTCAATTCACCCAAAATGAACATTTCGGCTAATTACGATCACGTGATCGCATGCCTGTGGGAAAAACGACGTGGTTAGCTTTGAACCAGTGCGCGATCATACCTTCAAGTTAGCACACCATCAGCCCCACTACCATGCCTCTACCGAAAGACCCAATCGCTCTCACCATGAACGCTCGCAATGAGTCGATGGCCGATGTCCTTCTGACATACCCATTGGAGATGGCAGATGAGGAGGACAACGTGACAACGTTGTCATTGGGCGATGGTGAAACCAAGGTAAGTTCGATTGGCTAAACGTCTGTGTGTGGCGCGCTTCAACATATTGTTAGACCAGTGTTCGAGTCCCAGCGAAATGCATCGACTTCCTCACGGTCACGATGTGTCAGCTAGACGTATTTCGGCGTACCGCCGATGCCTTGATCGATCGCCCTGAGATACCGGTCGACGATCCTGACGTTCAGTTTTACCTCGCCCTCGTTTCATACGTTGCTTCAGTA